CTCTGTGGTTTTCCTTAATGAATGGACACAGTGCAGTCAAAAATATGTTAGGATACAAATGTAATCTGTGTCTGTGGAAAAACAAACATCCCAGCTAAGACCTGAGCAAACCCTCCTCAATGCTGACTGTGAACAAGGTAGGAACCAGGTCAAGTAAAGAGAAATAAATATTGACATCATATGGAAGCTGTTTAAATCTGTAGTTGTTTTACATTGGAGTAAACAACCAACTTAAACTACCATAATTCCATTTAAGCTGGGATTCTTCCTCCCTGCTCTTTCCCAGTAATTCCATTTTGATCTCGTGGAAAAGATTCTGCCCTGGATGAAGCTCTCAGAAGCACTGCAAAGCTGCTGTGGACAAAGGGGCTACAGTCAGTCACCAGACACAATGTACTTTTTTACAGTTTAATGCAGACTCAAAATAAGAGCCACATTTTTAAATTTTAGCGTGGTAAGTCATGTGCACCCACAAATCATGCTGCTGTCATCGGGGCCTTAAAAAAAACCATCTTTTTTGGAGAAAAAGTAGACTAATGCAGTTAAACAAAGCACATTACAGGAGAAGGAGAAGCAAATCTACAGAAGCAAATTTAGTATACTACCTATTAGTACCTTCTAGAATCCCTCTTCTGTGCTTCTGATATTAGATAGAAAGCTGGAAAAAAGTGGAATCTTCCTTAAAGTATGTATTTCTTTCTTCAACATAAATATCAGTGACTTAAAGTGCAAGTTTGTCAGTGCATGAATTATGCTCTTATTGTGCTGCAAGCAAATGATTCGTGCTATTGAAAGAGTTTTCCTTAATAAAATGCAGAGGCTAGAATGTTAAATCTTTTGAAGTTGCTCCTAAACATGTAATATTTAGCTTGAGAAGCAATAGTGAGGAAATGAACATGATAAGAGCTCATTCAGTAACAGCCCTAAATTGATTATTTCCTTCCTTATGTAAACTTATCAGTCAGCCCTTTGGGCTCACTTCCGAATACCAGCTCAGCACAAGAGTCTTATCACAAGGAAATGGAATGTAAAAGCCCTGACAATTTTGATAAGGCACGTACTTTGGTTATGATCCTATCTCTCCCCTCCTCCCTTTTAAATAATTCATCTGCACTAAAAGGGGAGATGCCCTCCCTGTAACTTTGGTATAAATAAAAGTTGATGTTGTTATAGTCAGAATTAACCCTGATTATTTGTCCTGCTGGTTTCTCAGAATATTCTCTTAGCAAAGAGACTAGAAGATATATTAAAAATTACAAGCAGCTTTGGAATGGAGTGGCACAGTGGTCTGGATAGATGATATTAGAGTTTTTAGAGGCTCTTATGAGCTTTGAACATAATCTAAAGAATCTCAGTAGAGTGGATACCATAGGAAACTTAAGACTAATTTTTTATTTGCCACTTATTTATTTGCCACCTTTACCCTAGCCATGATGCTGTGGGTCTGACACCTAATTGTGATGGCAGAAGCCAGACTGAATAAAGATCCAAGAGCTCACAGTGCAAAAGCCAAACATGCCAACTTTAAAAAAACCCTACTACACAAACACCAAACCACGCACTCAAACACACACATAAGGCAAAAGAAAACTGACAAGCAAACTCTACCCACCAGCCACCACAGACTGAAACTTCACAGCTTTACCAGCCAAATGCACCAGCAGAACAGCCCCCAATACAAATTTAACTTCATTCACTTGTCCCAGTAAAGTAATAATTTAAAGGGGTACGTAACAAGTTTTGTGGTTCATTGCATGCCAGGACAGCAAAGCCTGATAAAAGCACTCAAATGACAGAACTGTTTTTGTTTGAGATGTGCTGACATGCTCCTTAAGCAAATATTATAGGCAGCAAATCCATGACCCAGTAAAATACACTCCAGACCATCAAAGTAGTTCTACAGCTTGATGAAATCCACTCATCTCTAGCAAGAATGACCTAAAACTCTTCAGAGGAATAAAAAAAAGTGTGGAGGAATTCAGAAAGAATGTTTTTTAAGCAAACAGTGACATACCAAAGTTCAGTGTAACTTTTTCAGTGAAACCAGAAACTAAGCTAAACTTACCTGGTTTATTTTTTCCACAGAAACTCAAATCTTGAGTTGTTTTATGCAAATTAGGGAAAAGCCTTAACTGAGGCTGGACTGACAAATAATTTTGATTGGCTGCTTACCCAAGCCTCCTCTCAGGAATATTTATCATCCAAACAACATCTCATCATCGTAAATCAACAGGGGTCTTAATTCTGGCAGTGTTGAAGTGCATGGCAAAGATACCATTGATCTTAATAGGATTAGGATTTTTCCAGAATTTTCATGATACTTTGCACAGGGAAGTCCTTAGACTATTTCAGAAGGAATCCTGAGTGCTTTATATTGAAAAAAAAATGTAGCAGTGGCAAGAATAAGACTGGAAAAAAGTCATGGAAAAAATCCAGAATGTTCTTACAGGAACATGAGCACACAGAGGAAAGGAAGGCTTTTTAATGGAAGGTGTGGGATCAGAGTAGATTAATCTATGAACTTTCTTAACTCTGTGCTTTCTATACCATACCAGTAGCACCACACATGCAACAGACTGTACCTACTAGAGAGAAAATCTTGTTAACATTTCTGACAAAAACAAATCAGAATTAGCAGGGATAAGAAAAAAATTATGCATTTGCATGATGAATGCTAGGTAGCAGAACAAAAAAGGGTGTAACTGCCTTGCCTGTCATTTATTTCTTTGGGCCTACAGTAGCAAAGTCCTCAGGGAAAGAAATTACAGTAGCAGATATTATCTTATTTTACTGCTGTATTTCCTATCTTAAATTAATAGTGCGTAGGATCTTGATTATACTTGATATAATTAATCATGAGTCTGTTTTGTTATACAAGTGAGTAAAGAGCACTTTGCTGCTCCATGAAGCCTGGCTTGTTTTATGGAGTTTAAATTAGGGCTTCAAGATATTAGTGAGGTGGACAAATACCACTGCTGAAATTCTCAATCCAGCCACCAAACCGGTGCTCAGAGCAGAGAGAGGATGGAAGGGCTTGGATTTTCCAGACATTTCTGTACAGCTGAGCTTCCTCAGGCTGGGTTCTGCCACCCTCCCTGAATGGAGTTCTATACCCTGAGAAAAGGTGCATGGAAAAATGCTGTGGTCTGCTTAGAGGTGGCAGAATTGGTTATTTATTTAGGTCAAACAGACTCAAGTACTTGGAGACTTGGGGAGCTTATGTAATGCACTGGCATGGTATGAAGGAGCTGTGTACAGGAGGAGAGGCACAGATGGAATAACTGCACACTCCTGAGCAGGTGTCTGAGGACATTTCATGGTGACCTGGAGACAACAGTGTGGCCAGAGGCTTTCTAATAAAAATATCTGCAGAGTCCCAATGAAAACAAGCCCCACACAATTCTAAAAAAAAACCAGATAAAACCAGGCCAAAACAGAAAATTAAAAAGATTTTCATATATTGTGCTTAATAGTCATGAGGTTTAGGAAACACATGTGGATCACCTATTACGCAGGCCAGTCTTCAGGCTCCTGTATTACTTTGTAAGGGTTTGGGCTGAATTCAGATCCCAGGTATTTTAAAAGACAAAGCAGTACATTTTATTGGCTTGAAACTTGCAGGAGCTGTTTAGGGAGCTCAGCTAGTCTGTTTGGGTTAAGTAGAAAGGAATAAAATCAGGTTGGTTTATTAATTAACAATAGATATGTTTCCTTCTTTGCTATAAGGGATTGTGGACTATTTTGCCTACGTGCTTCTCATGGCAGCATCAGGCTGTGGAAGCAAATCACTATCACATCTTGGCTTCTTCTTCTCAGTGTTGTTTAAAGCCCAGGGACTGTGAAGAAGAATGATTGTCAGATTAGGCACAGGTCCTCCTGCTTTCCTGAGAACCAGCTGTTTGCAGGTAGCCTGGAAGGATTTAGCCCTTGGCTTTGTTTCCGTGGACATGTAATACAGGTGAGACAATTGAGATCTGAATCATTGCCTGTATAAATGATAAAATAACCTGGTGCAGACCAGATCTGTGTCCATCTCAGGTCGCATAATGTGATCACCCAAAAGATAGGAGCTACAGTGGTATTAAACTGACTTCTGGCATAATAGGGTTTTTCAATGTGTTTTTTTTTTTTTCATGACCCCACGACTGACATAGCAAAGAACATTGCACACCAAGCTGTGAAGCTGCTCTATTTTAAATGTATGTTAAATTCTCCATTGTACAGTAGCTGTACCACTGTAAGGAGCAGACTCCTTACCTCCTTTGGTGAGTTAATGGCATGAATTAGCATTACAAGGCAGGCTGAAGAAGCTCCCTCCCCTTCGATTTCCTTTTCTTTTGTAGAGGATCAGTTATTCACAGGACGCTCTTTGTTTCTGGAACCAGGTCTTTGTTTTGCCAAACTTCGTTCCACCCCTGTGTCTAGTAGAGACCTGTTCCAAGATGTGTTCCACCGGCTGGGAACCGGCACAGGCAGCAGAAATGCTTTTCTTGCAAAACAATCTCTGAAAGCATTTTATCTGTTCCCCGCCCTAGAGAGAAAAGATTTTGTTGAAAACAAGTAGACCTGTATGCATTTCCCTTGGGAAATTCTCCTTAAAAATCCACATTTGAGGAAATGGCCCATACATCTAAGTATGTAAAGAGATTTCTCAGAGATCTTCTGTCACAATCTGTGACACTTTAGTGCTTCTCATTTGTTCCACCATGGAAATACATTAATAAAGGAGCACGAATTGTTCTGCTTTTAATGGTTCCAAAATACCGAGTCAATTCTGTAAGGTACCTTTTGCTTAATCACATCTGGTGTAAGAGTTTCCATTCCTTCAGGTGCTGGATTCTTTGCTAGTAGTAGAAACTGCATCTTCCCCTTCAGAACCAATAATCTTAATAACTGCAATCTACACTCTGTACATTTATTTTGTAGGATGTCATTGACTCCTGAGACTTGTATATCCAACGGTGACTTTGTCCTGTTGCAAAATATATTGATATTCCCAGGGTCTGCATTGCCCTGTGCAAGTTTCAAGAGGAAAACAATAACAGGAAGACAGGGAATATTGGAAATGTTTGTTATAAAGTTGAAAAAAAGTCTCACCAAGCCTCAGATGATTTTTTTGTGGATGAAATGGAAGAAAATATTTCAAAGGAACTGATTAAGCATCAGGTATGATTCAGGCTCATAGAGGAATTTGTTAGTATGAAATCTCTTGCAGAACACAGATTTTCATTGAAGGCAGAGACATGAATAAGATAAAAGATAAAAATACTTAGTATTCTTAAAAGAAGTGAGTAGCCCCTGTGTCTTATCCTTATGCACCTGTCCTGGTGCCATGTAGATGGTTTTTGATTCACATCTGTACTATAGAAAATGAACATGCTTTTTAGTTGTCTAAGGGCTTGCTGAGGAGTTGGTTTGTTAGGGTTACTGCGATTAAAGGAAGATCTCAGTAGTCAGTTACTTCTTTGTCTTAAAAAGTCATTAAATTTGATGATAGAAGCTGTCAATGTATAAAAATATACAAGTGAATAGGACGTGAGAACAAACACTGGCAAGTGCAGTATACAGCCGGTGCTCTTGACAAGACACAGGGTTGAACTGAACAAATGGCTCATAAAGCTCCTTTAGCAGGAGGACAGTAAAATCCTTCCTCTGAGGTGATTTAGCTTTTTAGTAAGCATTTATATGGAGACAGGGGTCTACCCTGGTGTGGATGGGTTGCTTGCTTTTGCCAGGCACTGCAATATAACTTCCATTTATTATGGCACTAAAACTATTAAACTGTGGCTTTTTTTTTTTTTTTTTTCCACTTGAAGTGAGGTTTGTCTCTAGCCAAAAGGGGACAGCCATCCATGCTGACAATTGTTTTTGATGGGCAGCCATCTCATGCCTTTTAAGAAAGCAAGAGCTCACTTTGTACTAAATGGCTGCAAGGGAAAAATATAGAGTTAACCACAGAGGTTGATCAGTAACTCACAACTACAGTAGCTCCTCTTAACATACAAGAAAGCTAAAACAGTTACTCCATTCTCTGTCTTATGGATTAGCATTATCCAGATGATAAAAATTAGTGATGTCCACTTCCCTGGGGGACAAGAGCTGTGGTTGGGTGTAGGGAAAGCTCAGGTCAGGAGCCCTCCCATGAGGATCTGAATGGTGGCCCAGGTAGCAGAGAGCTATGGTGGCTTACTCCAGGAGACAGCCACCTCTGTGGGTGGGTGTGGGAGTTGGATATGTGGAAATCCCAGCTCTCTTGGAGTCAAGTTTCCATTCAGGTGAGTGACCATGCTGTACTGGATGGGGGGCTGTCTCAGCAAAAGGCCACCATCCCTCTGCCTGATGTCCTAGCCTGCTTGTGTCCAGCCCTGGTGTCACCACTGCTTGTGGTAAAGGACTGCTCCTGCCAGCTGTGTCCTTACCCATCGAGTCCCCATGGGGCTCCTGAAGAAAGCCTGGCAGGCCCACAGAGCTGGGTTCTCTCATTTATTCCAGTTTAGATGCTTATTCTGGAGAGATGCACACAAACTCTCATTCCAGCTTGCAAAAATGGTTTTCAAAGTCACTCTGAGGTCACAGAGTCCTCTGAATCACTGAGGTCACTTAGACATAACCAAAGTGTCTTTGAGAGTCCTTTGAAAATTGCTGCCAGTATTTTCTCTGACCGGGTCATTATCTGCTTACTGAGAAACAGGAGGTTTTGTAATACACATTTTCTGTCAAACTGAATGTTTGCGACATGTGAGTTCTCATTTGGGCTGGAAGCTCATCATTAAATTCATGGGATGGATTAGGAAAAAAAAAAAATCTAAGGGCACTGACAAATCAACAATTTCAAACCCAGATTTCTGATAGTGTTTGAACCTCATGGAAGCTTTAATCAATTTTCTTTTATTCAACTGTTTCTTCAGCTAGAGTATTTGGATGAAATAAGCTTTGCCTTCCCACAGCAATCTCTGTGTTGATTAAGAAGGGATGTGCACTCTGTTATAAACAACCTCTGTTACAGGAGCTCTCACGTACCTGCTGTGTTGAAAAGAAAAGAAAAACGTCTAGGTAGCCATCACAGGCAAGCACTGGTCCTAAATCAAGGCCAGGGGCTGTGGCTCTGGTCCAGGGTGATAGAAATCTGGTGCTGTGCAGAGCCTAACCCAAATCAGGAGCCTGCCAGTGCTGCTCTCCACAGACATGAGGATGCTCAGCAGAGCAGTCCCCTCATTCTCTTGGAAGCCTCAGGAAAAACCTGAATATTTCAGTTTAGCCCAGGAACACCAAGAACTCGCAGAGTAGAACACACATCTGTTCCATATGGACACCAACCATGAGCTTTAAGCTGTCTCTGAGACTCTTTCTGGATCTGTTTTTTTCACCTTTTGCTCTATGACAAATCCTAGTAAACACATATAAGCAGATTGTTTTTATTATCCACAAGTCCCACAACACTGAGTATGTTTTCCACTATATCTCTCTCACTCCAAGAGAGGAAAAAAATTATAAACATTGCCATGTATCCAGGTCAGAAACCACAGTTTATGTCATGCCTTTTATTATTCAGGTTGACCAATCTACCCTGACATATTCTGACTTTAAACTCCAGAGTGATGGTCCTCTTAAGATCTGACCTTTAAAACTTCAAACCCTTATGGTCCTTCTGAAGACACTTTTCTGGGGCTTTGAGTAATTTCTGCCTGACTGAACATCATAAAAAATGTTTGAAATTTTATTAACCCACGGATTGTATTTAATACCTGACAAAAGAAAACAACAAAGTAAGAGCAGCAGCCAGCAGGTATATCAGGAAAACATAATAAGCTTGCACAGAATGGCAGCTCTGCTTCTTAAGTGGATGAGACAGACAATTATTTACTACATTTTGAGAGCACCTGGCACTCAGTCTCTTGGCCATCAGGACAGCTCAAGGGAAAGTGGTGTTTATCACAGTACCCTGTTAAGTGGATTTGACTATAACAGAAATAAACAAAACATCCTCTGGAAAAGTTTCAGGACTTTCAGACTGGCGAGTGCTTTGGTGCTGCAGACAGCTCGGGTCATTTATTAGGAGCCAAAGAGTCAGCACAAATGACAATATGCACTTTTGTGTTTGTTGGTTTCTTCCGTGTAATTTTGTTTGTTTCCCTGTGAAGAAGGGGGATTTCACACAGCTATAATAACCCCATCACTTCAAAATAATCACCAACCTGCCACTCTAACAGATCCAACATCTCCTTTCAAATTTTTTTCAAATTCTTTCCTTTGCTCTGGTCCTCATGAGGAGCCTCTCCTTTGCTGCTCTGCTTTTCTTATGTGACACGAAGTAGACAATTCTGATTTCCTGTGAGTGTGCTAAGCCATTTACATTTTTCCTAACCACTGCAATACGTGCTGCCTGCTTTTTGGGAGTGCTGTGTTGGTAGATGATCTAAAATGGATGGATTGCACACTGCAGATTCCGGGATGTAATCCTCTTACGATTTTGCATCTTGCTCACAAATGTTGCAAATTTTGCTTATTGGCTGTTTTCTGCAACCAGATGTTGAATTCCTAAGCCACAGAATGGGCTTCCCCTTATTTCTAGCCAAAATTCACTTCTTCATTTCAAATGAATATGTCAAATCATTTCTGAGTTCAGCATGTTACCCAATTTTCCAGGCCCAGAAAGTTCAAGAAATGCAAGATGGAAATCCAAGACTTTTGTTTTCAGGTCTGGAAGCTTTGGTTGATATGACTATCAATACTACAAAAAAGAAAAAAAAGTCAGCATTTTCACTTTATCATGGCCTAATATGAGGCAAAAAGTTCTCGTTCTTAGCAATTCCTATTTTTTAATGTAAAATTTATTTGAATCTTCAGTTTTACATTTTGAGATAAAACTTTTACTGGTTCCAAAGGTCAAGCACTATATAAAATGCCTTTAATTATGCCATGAGAATCTCCCTGCTCAAACTTGGTCCAGCTAGACCAGGTTGCTCAGAGCTGGCTCAGTCAAGTTTGGAGCATGTCTTCCAACAGACAGGTTAATAACTCTCAGCTTTCAGCAGTTTTGATAGCAGAGCAAAGCTGGCATGAGAGAGGTGAAAGGGAGGATCATGTAGGGGAAATCATACCTTGCCAGAACCCCGATGTGTGTTGTGGGACCAGCAAGACAGAGGGTGGAGAGCATAAGGATGGGACTGCCAATATGGGGAACTACCAGGTGCACTTCTGGCTCCTAATGGGAAATGATGGATTAATAAATGTGCATTCAAGTGTTAAGATGGGTTTCACAGAATAAAATGATCTCTAAGTAGATATTGAAAGCTTTCCATGCTTATTCACACACCAGAGAGAAGCACGATCTCCAAATTCCTGAACTGACTAGGAATTCCACCAAAATAAGTTTTTATTGAAGAGGCTGAGAAAGTATCACATGTGATGTTTTATTCTGATTTTGATTTCTTTTATGTTTCCCACTGTAAGAATAATTAAATGAAAATAATTTTGAACAGAGAAAGAGAAGAGGAAGCCCTTCTTCTCTTCCCTTTATTTGTAGGCAAATAATAACTTAATTTCAAACTGAAATATAACAGGAAAAATATTTATTACTGTGAGATGGATTTCTGTTAATGGTTCATATTATTGTTGATGAATATGTAAGCAATTGTACTTTAGCCTCTCCTCTTGAGAGAGAATGGAATATGTTTACAAGAGTGAAATATATTAAATACTCAGCCTAGTAAAGGGCATTCTCTGTTATGCCTAAAGCCTCCACAGGCCAGGAAGGCTTCTTACCCCTTTCCCTATATTTATTTAAATCCTTTGATGAGTGCACTGCATTTTCACAAATCCATCTGTACTTTTAGCAGCCTAAGCTGCTTTCTCTTCTTTCTCATTAAAATAAGATAACGAAGAAAAGAAATATCACTGTAAATGCATTGTGTACGAAAAATACAGCGTACATACTTTGCATACAAATGCTTCAGAACTAGTTACCCCCACTGTGAAATACTAGCTTCTGCTTTGATAATTCGTGACATTTTGCACGTTGGCAGCCAAAGCTTCCCACAGTTTTTGTAAATTGTAGTGTCTTTTGCATTAAATTGCTGAAGTTTAGGAAAGTGGGACACAATGACTTGAATGACATTTTGAATTCTTGAATTGCAGCTTAGAAGAATGTTCAGAGTGATTATCTAAGGTGTTTGCTTATCCATTTAAGCAATAAAACTTTGGAAGATTCCATGAAGGCTCTGCTTCAGCAAAGTCCTTGGTCTTATGTTTGGCTGTAGATAAGGGAACTTATTGCTTGTAATACATCTAATAATAGAGTTTACTCCTTCCTAGAAACATGTTAAAAACAGCTTCCGAGTCACTTTGAAGCAAAGGCAATTCCAAAACCCAGCAGCTTGTGGCAAACACATTGCATTGAAGCAGCAGAATGTTAAATTAAAAGAAAAAAAAAATCCTAGTGTACCTCCTGGTGGTTCACCTGAACCTCTTTCTAACATTTCTTGTAGCCTTTTCCCACCCATGAAAAATGTATGTTGCATTAAAAAAGAATTTACAAAACAAGCAAAAGTTACAAAGTCAAATCCACCTAAAGGGGAAAAGAGAAAAAAAACCCCAAAATCCAAGCCTGGGTCAAAACGTTGCTTTTCTGTATCACAGACTCATTATGGAGGTAGCTTTTACTTAACCTCTTGGTTCTCACATCACTCATGTTAATGGCCAAGTTTCTGATACCGGTGGCATTTATCAACTGATCATCTGTGACTCCATGAGTCACTGTCTCCAGGCTTGACATAAACCACTCAGACTCTGCGTTAGGGTCACCTGGACTTTGTCACTATTTAACAATTGAAAAGGAGCAGTATTTCCTTCAAGCACAGGCCAGACCCTCCAGTGATGTAAAGGAGAACAAGAGAAGCAAAGTCAATAAAGCACTGATGTTTTCCTAAGGTTCCGAGGCAGTTGAACAAATGCTGAAGCTCTGTTTTCCCTCTGCACTTTCTTTTCCTTGCTCATTTGTTCCTTTGCTCACTTGGGTTAAATCGAATGTACCCAGGTACAGGCAGTACTTGTAAAAATAGCTGTTGGTTTATTGCATCCCAATACCGGGATTGTAATTGTGTAATAGATGAAAAATTTGGGGCTGTTCATCTTCTGCTCTACCTCTAGTGTAATTCCATAAATAGTGACAAGATTATTTGGTTTTCTGTTTCTAAGGAACAAGTCTTCTGAACGCAGAGAATAATTACCTTGCTGCTGTTTTGTAGAGTGTAGAAAGGTAATGTAGGCATTGCACCTAGGAAGAAGTGTTTTATTTACCCTGCTTTTAAATATAGTGTTGCATTTTGGCCATCAGATGTGATAACTCTGAGTAGAAGATCTGATTTCTCAGTAGGCAGAATATTCAGTTTAGTCCCATGGCTAGTTTTTACCCATGCCTGCATCTATGAAGGAATTCTGTGCTAAGAGGGGGAAATGAAAAGGCACTCTCTCTTTAAAGACACTTTACCTTTCAGTTCCTGTGCAGTTGGAAATCTGTATCAAACCTGGGCCCTGCAGACAGCTGGTAAAGCTGTAGGGCCCAGTTGCAGCATGGGGCCAAGGCCCTGAGTCAGAACCACTGAAAAACTGTGTTCAAATTAGTCCTGCCCTTGGCAGCTGTGGGAGAATATATACTAATTTTTTCAGGTCAGCTTCAGCTTCTTCCAAGCCCCAGGAAGTGAAAAATGCATATTTGATGAACTCCTTGAGAATACCAGTTCCTGTATGCCTGACCTGATAAGTAAAGGATGTTGATGGGAGTTCAGAAATGAATGGTGGGGGAACTTTCAGCCAAGTGCCCAATATATATTTCTTTAGTACATGATGTCTTTAAGATCAGGCTAGGTCAGGACAATCAGACCACTGACTCAAGGCAGAGAATTTTTCATTGTCAAGACACTGCCTGAAACTTCTGCTGGGAATTTAGTGCTTCTGCAAGTGGGGAGTGCTGGTAAGCCAAAGGACGTGCTTATCCACGTATCTCTATTCCTCTCCTTCAGCCCTGCCCCTAAAGAATGTGTCACAAGATCTATTTCTGGATCAATGGCAGAAGTCACCAAACAATCCTTTCAAATTATTCTGTTGACCAAATGAAGGCTTAGCTCTCCTCTAAAGACAGCAAGGCCAATATAATGTTGAATGCTGTAATTAATTCCACGTGTTTTGAGGCATTAGGGTAGAGTCGAAAGAGCAGAAGTGTACTAATAAATAAAGGCCATATCCTGGTATTGATCTGTGTGTGGAACTCACCACTGGAATCAATAGGGAGTGCTGAAAAAAATCAATGGCAGGATATGACCCTGAGATAAGCTGGTTTCAAATCATTCTGTGTCTCCACTACAAATAGACAGGTTACTCTGTGTTATCTAAGCCCTCAAACATCCTCAAGAAGTTTGAGATGTAGGAAAAAACCACATGGAAGGGAACTGCCAGGGAGGGATTTACGTGACAAAATACTTGTGTTTTGTAAGGCCACGTTTAGTTGTTGCTTTGCAATATCAACCCTCTGGGTGAAATATTTAGATGGTTTCTTGTAATTAGGAGTGAAAATACCTTGGAGAAGAGGGAGTGGTTATTTTGCCTCTACTGGATACGAAAAAGACTGGGGTTTGAAATTCATAAGTTATGTTTCATGGGTCTATTTGCTTGTGTTAGATAAATGCTGTGTGGCATTTCCTGAAGCACCAGAGTGCAAACAGGGACCCTTCAGGTTCACAAACTTGATTTTTTTCTTTCAGAAACCAAAGTGAAGGGGTGGACATATGGATGCTTGGATACCTGTCTAATACATAATCAAGATAGAACTGAAGCTTACACCCAGCCCTGGTTAACTAACTTTATGGTACTCATGACTTGAATCTAAAAATAGCTTTAAGATGGCTGCATGGATACTCCTCTCACTAATTGTTTTCTATAATGTGAGTATTCTAATTTTTGTTTTTTTTTATTTTTTTTTTTTGGGAGAGACGTCCTTTAGCAAATGTTTCTGGGAGTGAGAAGAACTTTTTAAAATACCTTTTAATAGTTTTTATGCATGCTTACTCTAACCAACATTGAGGCAATTTGGTATGAGGAAGCTCCATGTCAGCTAAAAAGAATATGGAGAAAATGGTAGATTTGGACCTGGGGAAAAAATAAAAAAAGAAGCAAGGGCATTTACCCAGGGAGTTTCTCTCTTTAGAATAGCTTTCTTTACTTGCCCTTGCTTGTCTTCTGTCTTTTTTTATTTGTTTTTTAATTGCACGCATGCATTTAATGCATGTGAAATGATTCTCTTTGCCAGATACAGCATAAACCTGCACTCAGAGCTTTGTGAACTGCTGGTTCCTAACACTGGAAGATGCAACCCAGCCAAAATCCCCTCTAGATGGCTCTGATGCTTTCATTGCATTACCAATCTTTGCCCAGATCCTTGTCTGACTCTTTACCCTATCTGTAGCTTGGTTCTCACTTAGAATTGCAAGTTGGAAAGTTCCTATTTCTTTTTATCCATGAAGGAGATCTAACTCAGTAATACAAGCTTTTTCATGCTGCCCCATTAGTGTCTCATCTTAATCCATGCCTTGAGGGTCTGAATCCAGAGAGAGTAGAATATAATTGAGTCTCCATGCAGATCTTGGACTCTTTTCAAACTGTGCCAAAAAGTGTACCAATTAAACTGTGCTTTCATGACATTGCAAGCCAGCCCCTTGCAGAGAATGTGGATGAAAAAAAAAATGAAGGTTTATAATTTAGGTTTCAGATAAAGAATGATTTCCCCTCCAAAATGATCTGACTTGTGTCATTCACAATTTAGTCAGAACCTGGAATGCTACCTTCAGATTATAGAAGCTGGCAAAATTCATAACCTGGCAAAAGGGAAAATATTCACATAATTCTCTCGGCAAGAAACCAAATCAAACTATTCTTTTTAATTGCAGGTGAGTAATAGCACTCTTACATTTCATACAAGTAACGTCAGCACTCTCCTGCTCCGTGATTGATGGGATGTTTTAAGTGAAGTGCTTTAACTCAGCACAGCTGCTCTCTTGTTGGATTCCTCTCCTAGCCTAAGAAAGTTTTGGGTTTGGATGTATTGGCAACAACTTTCCCTTCTAAGGCTGAAAAATATTCCTCAAGAGAGTAGATGTTGAGTTGTCAGCTCTCTGCTTGGTCTGTATCCCTACTAGTGAAAACCAGGGATTACTGTGAGTTTTGTTTGGTTGGCTTTTTTTGACCAATTCATTTGGTCTTCAAGGTCTTGTTTGAGCTCTTGGACTGAACTAATAGTCTTTCATGAGTAATGTGTCTGTAGCCTAAGTGCTTCCTTGCAGTGCTTTCAGAAGGAATTTACCTTTTCCCTGGATCTCTGCCATTTTGTTGCTTCCCATGGGTGTCCAGGGAAAGAAAACTGCTGGGTGCTTGAAAAAGCTGGACTTTAAACCATTTCTATTGAGCTCCAAAAAAAACCAAAAAACAAAACAGGATGTGCAGCAAAAAGTGGTATTCTTAGCCACCATAGCCACCACCTATAACCACCTATTAAAATAGGCATATATCCATTTAGTGTGTAAAATTCCTAGCATTAGACTCACATGGATTTATCCTCAGTCTCTGAGCAAAATGCACATGAGCTTTGAGAACCCTGGAGTACATAATAACAGGAAAATTGTGGCTCTGGTTAAACACCTCCCCAGGGAGGGCCTGGTAAATGTCCAAGGTGGTGATTAGGGAAGGTTAACTTATGATGTGACAAGGAAAGTAGTACAACTTAGATAACACTAATAAATGACAGTGGTGCCAAAAAATGATTGATTATTCTGAGGTGTTCAGTTAAAAAAAAAGAAACAAATAAAACAAGCAGTTTTATCTATCTGTGCCCATGTACAGTTATTTACTATTCTAGTATATCAAGTTGGATGTCTATGTGTGGAAAATATATTACAGAAGGAATTATTTAATATGTAAGGAATCATTTGATGTGCCCCATGCAGGACAGGACATTATACAAACTTCCAATTTTTGTGGTTGTCATAAGTGAGTACCAACAATGACATTTATATTGTAGTAATAGAAATAATTTACTGAATGACTGAAAACAAATTTGCAAGGGGAGAATAATTTTCTCTTTGCTCTTGTTGGTTTTATGTTCTATACATTTTAATCCTTATATTGTGGAGTTAGTAAATTGAATTGTGGGGAATTTTTGCCATAAACAAGGGAAACCCTAAACTTCTAACATTAAAAAAACCCTATTTTCCCTCCCCAAGGATTAGCCATTTTCTTATGTTAGAATTTCCAGCATGATTTTCTTTCCTTCTGTTATGAAAGCTATATGAATTATGGTTCCTGTATTTTTGGCAAATATATATTTTAGACTTTATTCATTGTTATGTTGCAAGCTCTCAGTCTCTTGCACAGACTTTGACATACACTCTCCCTGTTATGCAGTGATCTGAAACACAGATTTCAGAGGGAGAGCTCATAATGAAAAAAATTAAGCAACACTTTACCATTTGGGATCTAAATAGCCCTGTCTTGCTCAGTGGTTGAATAATTGCTCAATATTCTGGCCTTCCTGTGATGGACCCAGCCTGTCTATCCAGAGCCAAGGACTGTGGTGCTCAGATATCCGATCTGTCTCTGGGAAATCCTGGATTGTCTGTGCAGTGCTGTCTGGAAATTGTAGGGCTGCTCTCACAACTCGAGCAGAGCCCTGCACCCACACGGCCCTGCAGAATCCAGCTGGGAAATTAGTTCAACTGCTGTTTATTTGGGTGTCACTACGTTGCCCTCCACTGTGTGGATGCACTCAAGTGGTGTCTTTTAGGGGATTTGGTGGAGAGAAGTCAGCACAGTGAAAAGCAGGGACTCCTTGCTGATGCTTGGAGATCCTCTGTGTGTCTGTAAAAAGCTCTGTTTCCTCAGGTCTGGTCTTGAAGCCTGAAGCAGATGTTTTATTACACTTTTACTGACTCTAAGAAAAAAATCTCTCCACTTCAGCAGGAAGATGAGGCCTCCTGACACCAAAATTTTTGCTCCAAACATTACAATGTTTGTTCTATGGCATGTAAAGAAAAAGCTACTCAGAATATTATTTAGGGAGATGCTTTTCCCACCTCTCTCAAAATGGACAAACACTTGCCTGTACAGTGCTGTTATAAATCATACATCTATTATGAAATAATGCAAAAAAGTTAAAACCTAACTGTTTACATCAGAGTAAGCTGATGGTCAGAGAGGTGTAGCACACATGCCTGACACCATGGTGCACAAGAGGTCTTGTCTGACTTGTATGTCCCTCACTCCTGTCCAGAAATCAGGAGCTGACTGCAGACATCATTCCAATGGAGAGGTCTCCATGTTACACCAACATGGCTATGGCTGCTTTCTTCCTGGCACAGTCTCTTATTGCTACTCCTCTTTTTTTCTGCCACAGTGGTAAGCATTTCAGCATGTTTATCATTTTAAAGGTGTTTTCAGTATTGCCAGGTGGTGCCTGACTGGGCTGTGGGAAAGCAGGACTTTCCATGTGGAAGTTTTTCTGAGACAGCTCTCGAGGTTTGCCCTCCTGCCCAAAATGTGCTGCCATTTCTCCCTGTCTTGAGCTGTGTTGCCTGTACAGGGAAGCAGTTCAAAGCCAGTTGGCTTCTTGTCTGTGCTCTAGGAGGCTGATGGTCTAAAATACAAAAAGAAGAAGGAGAACACCATAAAAATTTGAAAAAATTTGTTCTTTTTAGTCAGCTAAAAATGAATATATTTACCACTGAGATGATACAAAATTTGTTTGTTTTTATCAGCTTCATTTACATGAGAAATGACCAGAGTTCCTTTACATTAAGGTGCACATTGATAAAAAAAATTATACGTAAACATTTTAGGAAAAAGATACCTTGTCACTTTTGGTGTATGATAAGAGAATTAGTGAACAAGAGCAAAACACAGAAAAAGGATGTATCAAATTGCATATGGTTACTGTAATGCCCCCGCTTTCCCTTTAATTCATTTTCTAAAGAAGGTGTTTGTAGTGTGTAATGCAATTTTTTTTTCTGGCAGCAGTCAGAGCTGCGGTCACTCTCTATGCAGTGAACTGAATCCTACGTGGTTCAGGCAGTTAAAAATACCAAAATGACTTTCTTCCCTCCTGCTCCTCCAGCCTTTCTTCTTTGCAGATGGCAGAGGACAATATGCTGGGTCTGCAATAACACTGACTCAAAATTCCTTGCTAATTGTAAGATAACTTCCTAAAGATTGCAAGCAAAAGGAAGTCAGAGAACAAAGCAATGTCAAGTATGCACATGTCACAACACAATGTGCTGATTCCAAGCCTTTGGAAACATGCTGAAAGACATGTCTGGAAAAAAAGAAAAACAACAGGGAAGTGCTTCCACACAGGCTTTCAGCATGAAAACAACAGCTGAATGTGCCTGTTCCCACCAGGAAAAAATACCCTGAAATAACAAAAGGTGCTGGAGAGCTAGAAATGAAATCATCAGATGGCAAGAACACTCTTTTGTCTGTTCTTACATAGACTGTACTCCCAGTGCATTGTAAAGCAAGGGATCGACCTGGAGTAGTGTTTGACCGCGAGGTGCCAAGAAGACCAAGAAAAATGGAATGTATAAACACGTCTCTCTTACAATGAAGGACTAACAGAGCAAAACAGGAGGAAAGCAAACAAAGGGCCACACTTTCAGATAATGTATCTGCAGGAATGCAAACTCTGTGCATTCCTGATCACTCCTGTAGGTACTGAAGGCACAAAAGACAGACTCTTGAGGAGAATGGCATACACAGCGTTTCTTTGTGAAACAGAGCCTGCACACATTCCCTTCATAACCACAGGTAAATCTTTTGCATCATTGGTGTACTCTAAAGATGTAAGTGCTTTCAATTAGGTCTGTCACTGCTGGCTTGCTCAGTCCAATTTTCTGTCAAC